CCGCCGCGCCGGCTCCGACCTTGCTGCGGCGCAGCCGGGCGGGAGGCGGGAGGAGCGACGGGAGGACTGTTTGCAGCGCCGCGCCGGGCGCGGTCTCCAATGAGCAGCGCGGAGCCTGCGCATCCGACGACCCGAGTCCTCTGCGCCCCTTCCCCGCGGCTCACCTGGTGCCAGGTAGGGTAACAGGTAAAAACGAGGCGCTTGGAACCTCCTATTCGGCTTCTTCCCAGGCCAGGGTATCAAGCCGGTCACAGTCTGGGGCCGCCATGAGTAGGCATCTAGTTGAAGGTGGGAGCCTTCCTATTCCCGCCCCTGAACCCCAGTGCCGGCAGACGGAGGTCCCGGCACCCCATCTCTGCCGCATCCTTTCCACACGGAGGGAGCCAGTGTTGCATTTTTTTTAACACCTCAGGTGCCGCTACCTCTTGGTAAATGGTGGGGGTGCCTTTGGAGGGATCCTGGGAAGGCTGTCTCCCCCGCGGGATCATAGAGGCGCTCCTTCAGAGCGTTCCCCACCCCCACAGCGGGCCTTCCCAAGATCTTGAGCGCTCTGGCTCTAGCAGAAGACTGGGGGGTGGCCTGGCCTACCAATTTTGGCAAAGCGCTTCCCTCTGACTCCCCAGCTGGCCAGTGGGCAGGTCTGACTCAAACCTGCACCCTGGCAGGTAGATCTGTGGGCTCCCAGTGGGCCCTCATTATTATTGGGCATCTGACAAAGCAGGATGCACTCTCCCCAGACCTTATTGCTTTAGATGGTCGACTGGGTTTCTAGACCCCTGAAGATACTCTGGCCTCCGTTCATAATCTGCTTCCAATGGAGCAGGTGCCAGGTGACAAGAAAAGACCTGTAGGAAGCCTGGGCAGCTCCCCAGTTTGCCTCACTGAGAGCCATGAGTTACCTGAAACAACTATAAGTTCCAGAGAGAGGTCAGTCCCCACGTGGGACATGGTTCATCAATGCAGGGAGACTGCATGGGTCTGGCCTCTCATCCAGGGATACCCCATATGGGGGGGGGGGCGTGTGGGGGGCGACCCATATTTGCCAAGCAGTGAATGAGCCTTCCCACCACTGGGCCAGGACTGCTCTGGCATGATATCACCAAGTTAAGGGTGATCTGAGCTGCCGCTGTACTTTAGGACCTTTGTCTTGCCTTCCCTAAACTGCCCCAGAGCAAAGTGGTGAGTTTTAGTTTTGCCTTGCCTTCAGTCTGTGTTGCTCATTCCTCAGCCTCTGTTTACCCACCTGTCCACAGGGAGGGTCACCACCTGGTGCTTCTGGGGCAGTGGCAAGGAGTCCTTCCTGTGAACTCAGTGACACCCTGTCAGCATGGAGGCTGTGACCATAATAACCACGATGGATTGTGGCCTAGCTGTTCCAGGTCCTCCTGTGTGCAGCATCAGCTGGCAATGCCCCCACCACCACTTCTAGGAAGAACAGCCTTTCACAGGCTCCCCCAACCCAGGGTTGCAGTCACTTGCTAATCCTGTGCTGTTCCTTAGCCTTTGGGGTCAAGACCAGTGCCCCTGTCTTCCTGGGCCATGTCAGGCCCTGGGCAGTGCCTGCTCTGGCTTCTGGCCACCACCTTGTCCTTGTCCCTTGGGCCACATGCGTCACCCACGTGCCCACAATTTGCCCTCCAGCTCCACCTGGCTGAGTCTGGCTGTGTCCTCTGGGTCTGGTGCATGGAGACAGGAGCATGGTCCATCCTTGCCCTCTCCTTTTCTCATCTGGTGGTCATGTTCCCTCTCCACCCTGCTAATCAGTTACTTGAAGTAAAATGGAGTAACCTGTCCCCAGTGAGGACTATAACCCGACCAAGTTGGACTGTGCTCCATCAGAGCCTGGCGTAAAAGGACTCAGTGCTTGGAAGCAGGGACTTTGGTGCTGTCGCGGCCGCTTGCTTGCTGGGTGACCCTAGGCAAGGCACTTCCCATCTATAGAATGTGGTTCAGATGGTTTATGGGTTTGGAGTGTGAGACTGTTTATTCCAGTGAAGACAAACAGCTGGGGATCCCAGGTGGGTGGCTGGCAAAATAAGTTGATGTTACCCGAAGCAAAGCAGAGGGGTATCAGGAAGGAACTCCTGCAGCAAGTGGGAGTTGGGGCAGGGAGAACCAGCCCAGCCTCCAGCCTCCTGTCCTGCTTCTGAACCCCACTTCCTTTCTGGAGGCCAAGAGAGCCATGTGTCCCCCCCCCC